TCATATTGGGTTTTAATATTATCTTTATGATCAGGGCATGCCTTGCCTCCTTCTTCCTGAAGCAGAAATTAATATGATGCTCTGCCATCCATGACACAAATCAAGATTTGTGCACAAGTTGCACACTTGTAGGTACATGTCACTGATGTATTTAATGAGAAACATGAGAGGAACTGCCAAACTATATTGAGGGAAAAATATATTTATCATCTATATGCAATTCATAGGTATTAGTATCTTCCTCTCAGATTGGAAAAAAAATTAACCTTCCCTGGAAACCTGGAGCCTAGTCACATACTTTACCTATCATGACACCTGATAAGGTATCTGATATTGCTGCATACTAAGGTAGTTATTATTAGGGATGCACCAATACCGTTTTTTTTGGTATCCAGGCCCGGTATTTTTTGGGGGGGTACTCGCCGATACCGAGTACCAATACCTGTGCCGTGTGCCCCAATTATCAGGAAGTCAGACGGCAGGTCATGAACCAGCTTCCTGATTGCCTGGGAAGCCAGTGTTCTATCAAAAGAAAACCGGCTTCACTTGCCAAAGCTGCCTGGCTTCCTGACCAATCAGGAAGCGGGGCAGCTGGTCATGATGTGCCATCCGGGTTCCTAAATGGTCAGGAAGCCAGGCTGCCTAGCAACAAGTGAAGCCGGCTTCCTAGCAAATCAGGCAACCGGGTTGCACATCATGACTCCCTGCTTCCTGATTGGCTAGGAAGCCGGCTACACTTGCTGCTAGGCAGCCTGGCTTCCTGACCAATCAGGAAACCGGAAGGCGGGTCATAACCCACTGCTGGCCTTCATGATTGGAAAGGAAGCAGGCTCCATGCTCCCTCAGCTCTCCCTCTGACCGGAAGTTCTGGTATCAGAGGTAAGTATCGGAGCATTTGGGCGAGTACGAATATCGGCATCGATACCATTATTAGTATCGGTATCAATGCATCTCTAGTTATTATGACATGTTTCTGTCTGGGCGTACTCTGGTCTTACTGAAATTGTAACAATAGTTGGACGTACATCGTTCCAGTGCAGTGGTGCATTGATTTCCCACCTGACAGTGCCTGCATAGTTTGGGCACCAACTTTACTTAGCAGAGCTTGTAGTTTGGGACCAATGGAGTCTTTCCTCTCTCAGGTAAGCAACCACTACTACCATTTATCACCATTTAGAAGTCTGTAAGAAGAGGTATTCTTCCCACTGACAACTAATGTAAGGGGGCACTACACTGGCCACCAATTTAGGAGGGCATTCTTCTCGATGACGTCCAATGCAAGGGGTAGTCTAACCAATAACCCAAATGTAATGGGGTATTCTTCCCACTGGCCACCAATCCAAGTAACATTTTTCCGACTGACCATCAAAGCAAGGGGCATTCTTCCCGGTGACCCTCAATGTTGTGGAAGGGGGGGATCTTTCGACTGACCACCAATGTAATAGGGCATTTTTTTCCACTGGCCACTAGTGTAAGAAGGCACCTCTCCCACTGACCACCAAAGGTGTACAGTACTTTGCCATTGACCATTAATGTAAGTGGGCATGTTTCCTTTATTTATTATGTTTTAGTTATTAAAAGAATCTCTATAATTGCACTGCCTGCATTTGTTTTCTGTCCATAATTATTATTTCATGAAAATAACTGAAAATTATTTTGATAAAATGTCCCACTCTGAATGGCAAATATGCTAGGTACACCACTTCATCTATAGAAATAATCAGATGTATACATAGTAGAATTTGTTATCTGTGGAAACACTCTGATGTGTTTCCACAGCACGTTGGTCTTAAAGGGATATTTTAATTTTACTCCTATTTTCTTTTTTTCTAGTTTTATTGTATTCCCTATGGCATGAGTCTATATAATACAAAGATGCTCACTACAGGGGGTATTTTCACATTCCTGTCAGATTTTTATACCTGCCCATGACCCCATTCTGCTCAAAGCAACATAAAAAACATTGCCTGGAGCTCGAAACCTGGCTTAAAACTTTTTTTTTAAATGACTGTTGAGATGGGCTGATATATATACGATCACCAAGGCTTCCATCCTAGCTAGGCACTAGGTTTGTATTTTTTTTCCTTCCTAAATGTCAATAAAACCTTTTTAAATTAAATGTTATGGTGTCTTTGAAAAAGCCCTAACTAAAAATGTACAAGTGACAAGCCAGTTAAGTAGCATTCTGGATTTATTTAACTTACCACAATTTTTTTCATATGTGATTAACCTCTGGCAGCACAGTTTATGAAGCTGGCTAAGAGCTCGCAATAAGCATTAAATCTACTAATTTCTTTTTAAGTACACAAAGTACACAAATGCTGTCGTAAATAGCCCAGTTCCAACTTTCCACCTTAAGTTTCTAGATTCTGTTAATGTTCTACACCCTTGTGTTTTGTATTTGCTAGTATATTTCTATTGCGCTTTGTACAGACCAGTAACTGTAGATTTGGACAACCATATCTGTTGTAGATGAAGCTACTGTCATCCTGTCAACAAGACATCTCCAGCAGACAGTCTGTACATACATTGGACCATTACACTGGATTACATTTGTTGCACCCTGTAGGGTTAAATGATTATGCAGACACAATGTGATTAATGTGTTATATTTCAGTGGGGGTTACCTAAATTATTACAAATTGAGATCCCAGAGCCAGAGAAAATATTCCCCTAAAGGTATCAGACTTCAGCAAGAGACAAAACATAACAGAGGTTCAAATCCATTTCTACACTATAAAAAAAAATTTGGCTAGAGTTTTACTGTAAAGTCCATCTCTGGGCAAAACATAAACTTTTTACTTTCTCCTAGCAATGTGTTTTGCATGTACAGTGCCTGCAGTGCATGGGTGATGCAGAGCACATTATCTTCCCATTTTCGGCATCTGCAATGAAGCTATTACATTATTAGTGGTTGCTCATGCTACAATTTAAACCCAGATGAAGCATGTAGCAACCAGTTGGTTGAGTTGTACAGTTGTTGCCTTTCTGTCCCAATAAAGAGGCAGCCTTGACATGCAAAACGGGAGCAGTTATTCCTCTAATATTCCACAAAAAAGTAACCATTTAAAAGTCCATTGGGGCTGATCAGCTGAATACCTGGCAGGGCAAACAGTTTGCTCATGTCCAAGATCAATAGTTTCAGAGGATTGCCTCTGTCTATGTATTATGCAGTGGTATGTGTGCACTGGGTTCTGCTTACCTAAGTCAGGCGTTCACTTGGTTCTGTTTGACCATGTTAGGCATGGACGATGTCCTTCCTCTATTAAATTCATATTAATTTGATTGAATAAATGAATATTAAAGTGACATTAAACTCAGGAGTTAAACCTTAAAAATCCATTCAAGTACCTTACTTACAAAAATGTAGCTTATTTGTTTATCATTCAGCTGTAGATCCTCAACTCCTGTCTGGATCCATTCTGATACCTTTGTTCCCCATGGTCCCTGTGTGTGTTGTAAAGTAACCACCACTCCAAGCTAGCTCCTGCAGTAGACTATAGTTGCAATACAAATCAGTAAACTAAACATGAGATTGTAGTCCATCATGGGAGTGAGCATGGAGCGTTGGCTACTTTACAGCGCACACAGGGACCATGGGGAACAAAAGTAGCCACCCTCCAGAAGGAAGGACAGTGTCGGCACCAATTCAGTGATGATTTGAGGATCTACAGCTGAGTGATACACAAATAAGATACAATGTTGTTAATAGTTAAGGTACTTGAATGAATTTTTAAGATTTAATTCCTGAGTTTAGTGTCACTCTAAAATTAGATATTAAATTATTGTAGAGGCCTTTGCGGCCAGCTTCTTTTCTAGAGGAATTATTCTGCAAACAAATGGTAATTCTCTACAACATGCCAGGATATGCATGACTCTTTCAATCATTAGAAAAAAACGTAGAAATCTCAACTTTTTCTAATTTTGTCTTTACAGTCAAGGCAAGCAGCTTGTTTTGCTGAGATGCTAGTCACAACAGTTCTGGCTGACAAAAATCAAACCCAGTCTGTGTTTGTATGCCACTAAACAAAGCTTTAGCAATTTTTTGCAGTACATATGGGGGTATGTAAACACCAGCCAAATGCACACAAACAACATTGACAAAATGATAAAAACATCATAAGTCACTAAAGCATTAACATAAACAACGCATTGTAATGGTGAAGGTATTTTGATATGAAAAGAACACAATTTGCATGTATTAAACAGACAGGACATCTGATGGTTACTGCCATTTAGATTCAAATGTGAGGTAGGTAAGAATATATATATATATCTATCTATCTATATATATATAATAAACCCAATGGATTTCAGGTTAGGATGGATGGACATGGCTATAATGACCCACCAGCTTCTTATATCTCTTGGAGAGTCAAGCAGAAATATGTCTTGATGGGACTACCTTGTGCTCGCCATTCATCATGGGTGAGATGAGGTTTCCCATTCTGGCCACTTGATTTATTAAGTTTATAGACTTTTTTATTTGTTTTACATTACTGAGGATGTGGTAGAGTCAGCCAATCCCCATAATAGATATTGGCTATAGAAGAATGTAGAACAGGGAACTCACCCCAGGATCTTAGAGTCATGTAACAAAACCAGTGAATGACTTAAGTCCCTTTCTTTAACCATAACCTTATATCAGAGACCCCTTAAAAGCCGCATGTATTATTTTTCCTGCTGCATAAAAAGCAACAGAATGATATGAATGGTTAATGCTTCTCTGTAAAGTATAAAATAATATCTAAGCTACATAAATGAAAAGAACAAATAAGAACAAGTCTCTCTTCAGCTATTATCCTAATAATCCTCACTGAATGCATATCAGTGGTTTTACTCTATTTACCACTCCACATTTTGTTATATTCCACTCATTACTAATTAATGCTTTCAAATAATCTGTTCAAGTGTTAGCTTATATTTCCCATGAGTTTTAGTAAATAAGATATCTATATAATTTAGTTTTTTTTTGCTGTATGCAACTTGTCTTTACTTACAGAACTCTTCCTTGTAATTCTTAGACCTTGACTTGGGCATGGCAGTGATGGTGACAATAGGGCAAGGGTTTCCACCCAACGTGTCACACAGGGTCTGTTGCTTGAAGTACACTCTCTGAGGATCATATCTGTGTTCCAAAAGTTGCAGGTGGGACTAAAGAAAAAAATACATTAAAGAATAAGTCCATCCCAAATTAAAATTTTAGTTATAGGTGGAGGCTGGATGTCTTAGTTAGCTACTTACATCTCCTGGGAACTTCCAATTATATAAGAGTTATATATATGTATGTAAAACAAATAAACAAATCGCACCCTCTCCTAGTGTATTAACATTTATTAAAAAGGGTAATAAAAATTAACATAACACTACTCACATAGAGGTAAAATGGAATGAGCAATAGGGTACAGAGCAGGTCCCAGAAAAGACTGACTAGCTGACCTGTTTTGGGGGGAGCTTCTCCCTTTCTCAGAGCCCTGAGTAGTTTTGAGTGAGCTTACCCCCTTCCTCGGAGCTCTGAGTAGTTTTGAGTGAGCTTACCCCCTTGCTCAGAGCTCTGAGTTGTTCCAGGGAGCTTACCCACTTCCTCAGAGCTCTGAGTAGTTTTGAGAGAGCTTACCCCCTTTCTCAGAGCTCTGAGTAGTTCCAGGGAGCTTACCCCCTTCCTCAGAGCTCTGAGTAGTGTCGAGGGAGCTTACCCCCTTCCTCAGTGCTCTGAGTAGTGTCGGGGGAGCTTACCCTCTTCCTCAGAGCTCTGAGTAGCTTTGAGGGAGCTTACCCCCTTCCTCAGAGCTCTGAGTAGTGTCGAGGGAGCTTACCCCCTTCCTCAGAGTTCTGAGTAGCTTTGAGGGAGCTTACCCCCTTCCTCAGAGCTCTGAGTAGTTTTTTTTTAAAATTGACAATTTTTATTTTGAAGGTTACATATAGAAAATACAAAACTTACGACATCATTTGAGGTATCCAGCGCAGTCGACATTTAGCTAGAGACAGTTATACATACTTTGTTTTATTGTTCTAGTAAAGCGTAGAAGGTAGGATATTCCCCATCTGCCATTCTACCCTATGGTATGTCGTACTTATACAGCAAATAACATTTCGTACAAGCTGTTCTTAGCTCTGAGTAGTTTTGAGGGAGTTTACCCCCTTCCACAGAGCTCCGAGTAGTTTTTATGTTAATTTGTATTACTCTGTTTAGTTAATGTTAATACACTAGGAAAGGGCACTGTTTGTTTATTTTATATTGTTTATATTGTTTATATTGAGGATACTTCCCAGTGGTCTTGAGGACGGCAGCCTTCTCCTTCAACGTTTGATGTATAAAAACCCCTCATGCTGAGTGATGTGGTGTAATTTTTTCTGGTTATTTGGAAGAGGTATGGTGTGGCTAAAATCTCTGGCAATGGTTTTTTGTGTCTCACTGGGAATTTACCTTCGCTTCCTCTTGTGAGGAAGTGAGAAGAAATGTTCCAAAAGATGGTAAATCCCCCCTCAGACAGTTGTTATAAGAAAAGTGTCCCCCTCTGAAAGATTTCCTCTTTTTTTCTGATGCAGGGATCACTCAAACTTTTCTCTGACTGTCAGGCCCGGTGACAATGACCACCAGGAAAAATGCAGAGGGTGAATCTTCCCAGAGAAGAAAGCCGCTTGCAAGTAAATCAATATTTAAGTGAGGAGATGACCTCCAGTGATTTTGAGACTCTGACATGAAGCAACGTAGCGGTAAATCTCTTATTTTGTGCATTTGCGCAGTTCCATTGCCTTATTTAACAATGCTTTACCTGGTGCCCATGTTATATTATGAAGCCATTATTTTAAAGCTGCTCATCTGCTTATATTTTGTCTTCCCTGCCCCCCCCACTTATTAACATGTTAATGACATTTTTAAATAAAACCGTACCTTTTTATCACATACTCTATTATTCACTGCTGAGCCTCTGTGCTTCTCTGTGCAATGCAGTGTAGAGATATAATATATGCAGGGTGATCATGGCTGGTGGGGGAGGGGGGGCAGCAGGGTGCTGTTCGTAGCTTCCCAAAAACCTCACAGCACCCTGCCTCAGTACATCTCTTAAGAGCCATCAGCCCTGATGAAAGTTGTGGGCTGACTATAGAGAGGATGCAAATCTCAAAATTGCGTAATGGGTGGGTGTCAATCTGGAGTTCATAGGCAGGCTGTGTTTTTATGCAGACCACTCTGGGTAATGCCCACATGTGATACTGAGTCTCTGTGATTTGAATAACTGAAATCAAATAAATGAAAGCCAGGAAGGAAAGGACAAGATGATGTTTGATGTGTCCCAGCCTGGAAATGAGTTGGTCTCTATCTGAAGTGCTATAGCTTATAATGGACATTTTGCTCACAGTATGCAGTGAAATCAGAGTAAGCAATTTCAGTATGGTCCCTTTCACAGGGATTGATCAGAGAAATATGGAGCGGATGCCACCATTGAAGCATTCATGTCCGTATAGTTTTTACCACCACCTTGTGGTGGAGGAAAGAACTGAAACTGCCGGACCCCATGTCGCTCTATGGGGAATCAGATGTAAGCAGACATGTGTCTGTTTACATCAGATTACCCCAAACTGGCATGATCAGGTCTAGTGAAACAGATCTTTGATCCATTTGTTTTTCTGGACCTGGCCGGAGTCGGGGGTAGCTGGGTGTAAGCGGATGCCTGTCGTTTTAATACACAGGTGCCCATGGACTTGGTTGTTCTTCTCTTTTCTCTCCTATCAGCAGGCCGTTTGTCAGCACATGAACAGATTTGCTCCCTATGCTGTTTCTCCCTCCCCCAGTCTGAGCTCTGCTATACAGGGAACTGCAAGAGGCTATTACTAAGTAAAATCCAGGGACTTCCAATCTTTGCATTGAAAAGTACAATACCTGATGTATTGATGAATACAGATCTGCATTATTTTGTGTCTTATAGTATATGTGACCTGGAGTTCTACCTTAAATCTTTAAAAAATATACAAATGGCCTGAAGCTCCCGCAGCTGTAGTGCTGTACAATATTATGCCACCCTCAATACAGCTGATTAATTTCAGTACACAGCTGTCATTCTATGAAATAACCAGCATTTTCTTAGGCATAAAATAACACATTAGACAACTAATCACTGCCATATGCTTGACATGTTTTCTTAAAGCAGTATTAAACTCTCAAACTTTTTTGCAATAATAACTCCAGATCTAATAAATGTGCATTGCCCAGCAAAGTATTTTGTGTTATACACTTACAGTCATCATGTTTCCAAACAGCTGCCTCCAACTCTTTCAGCTCAGCTTCCCTGAACTTCCTGTCTAGTACAAGATCACAATGCACACAGCAGTTTCCAGCAGCTGCCCATCTGCTAACTTGGAGAAGGTTGTCTTCAGTGTTGCCCTCCTGTGAAGAATCGCAGTGTATCTACCCTTTGAAAATGAACTTAGGCACCAGCGACTTTGTTTGAATATCGTGAAAATAGCCTGCGACATGTTGAGCTTTGGGTCACGGGAGGAGGCTAGTATATGTCCTCCTGTGACCCTAAAGAGAACTATGGGAAAAACACTTACCCCATAGTTCTCTTTTAAATACAATCTGAATATAAGAATAAGTCTCGGTTTATCACATGTTGTAAAATACTAACACTTAAAAAAAAATACTTTTAATAATAAAAAAGTTGAAATAAATAATAAAGTATGTTATTGGATAAGGCTGATAATCTGAACAATAGAAATGTCATCTGAAGTTGGACATTCCTGGTACTAAGCACTAAGTATTTAAAACGGTGAAAACACGATATCAGTTTACTGTCAGGAGAATAAATCTAGAGCATACATGCCAGGGCTTCCAGCAATAACAAGGAAACGCTTCTCATCCTTATGCTGGTAGTGGTGAAACAGATGTATACTGACATATTGATTTGTGCAGTCTTACTATAGCACATCATATCTGAGTAGAGAAATAGGTTTCAGCCTATGTCTTATTCAGATCACCTCCCAGACTAAGCAACATAGATGATGAGCCTGTCATGAGACAGGTTATCCACACGTTGGCCAAAGCACTACACAGGCTACAGGACTCTGACTGCCAAATAGCTAACAGTTATACATCCTTAGCTAAACATAGCCTAGCAATGTGAGTTCAGGTAGTCAGAAAGTTAGGATTTGCTATTTTATTGGGAAAATCTGGACATGTCAAAGTGTATCTAAACACAAGAACAAAAATGTAATTAAAGTGATAAAAAAGTCAAAAGTTTTTTTTAAGCTATGTGAAATGATGATTGAATCACTTACAATGGATGCTGCTTCTTGATGTTTAAAAGTTTTAGCTTCCTGCAGAATCAGCTGGTCCCCTGGTATCCTTTTTAAGTGGTAGCTCTTTTCCCTTGCAGGAGAGCCACCCTTGTGTATGTGTTTCTCCACAAACACACAGGTACAGCAAGACAAGTCATTCCCCTGCTCTCTGCCCCCACTCATCCTTCCTTGCTTCTCCAAGCCATAGATCCACAGCTGTTGGAGACTGTGATGTCCCTTGTGATTTAGTAATTAACAGGAAGTTCATGGAAACCAAGGTGCCTTTATCATTGATTACGGCTCGCATTAAAAATATCAACCTGATTGCCCCTTAAACCCTTAAGGTGACACTAAACACAGGTGTTAAACTTTAAAAAAAGTACCCTAACTATTAACAAAAATTTAGCTTATTTGTCTATCACTCGACTGTAGATCCTCAAATCATCTCTGAATTCATGCAGACACTGTCCTTCCTTCTGGAAGGTGACTGCTTTTGTTCCCCATGGTCCCTGTGTGTGTTGTAAATACAAAGCTTGCTCCTGTGACTACAATCTTAATACTTATTAGTAAACGAAATGTGAGATTGTAGTCCATCACAGGAGCGAGCTTGGAGCTGTGGCTACTTTAGAACACACATAAGGACCATGGGGAACAAAAGTAGCCACCCTCCAGAAGGAAGGACAGGGTCAGCACCAATTCAGAGATGATTTGAGGATCTACAGCCGAGTGATACACAAATAAGATACATTTTTGTTAATAGTTAAGGTACTTAAATATATTTATAGATTTATCTCCTGAGTTTAGTGTCACTTTAATTGAGACCTTCCCTAAACAAAATATGGGAGTTACCATTGTTGACCTCCATCTGAGAATACTAGTTGCTTGGCTGGCTGTTATCCTGACCCACTGTGTTCAATACTAAGTTGCTGACCCAGAACAATAAAGCAGTTTAGCAAAGTCAAAATAATGACAGAAGTCCTTATTTGCATGTCTGTTCTGGGGTAGGGACTCAGCATATTGAAGCCAGAAGTAAGAAGATCATCAGTGATAGCCTACATATTTCATTGAGGAAAGGTTTACTTTAAGGGCCCATTCATACCATGTCCGAACCAGATCCAGACCAGAATATTTTTTTTAGTCTGCTCAAAAAATGCATCCCCATGAATTCCTATTGTATTCCTATTGCATTCAGTTCCAGAATTTTTTTTCAAAAGTACTGCATGCACTATTTCCTCCGGTCTGGAACATGCCAAAACACTTGCAAACACGCCCAAAGACACTGGAATGCACTAGAAAGACAATTGAGACAAACAATGCACTGGAACGCACAGGAATGCATAAAAAATGCTCATGGCCACGCATTCAGATCTGGCCTGGAGATGATGTGAACACGCCCTAAGACGACTTGTCTACATATACCTGGAATTCCACTTTAGAACTGAAAGGCAGTTAATATTGGTTTGTGTTTTAGTTATTTTTGAACTGTACTAACATCCTCTAGTAAAGTTAGAGATTATCTAATGTATATCTAGTCAGACTGGGCATTTCTTCTGCAAATCATGTGCCAGCATGGCCACCTGAGCTTACCATAAGTGCTGAGTAAGTGTAGGGGTAATGATAAGCCAAGTAGCAGACGTCATCGTAGTGGGGAAACTTCACTGTAAATGTTAAAGTATAGTATCTTCTTCTTTTCTTTGCCTCACATGCCCGATAACAAAATGCATTTCTAGGAGAAGAAAACAGTCAAATAATCAGTTTATATTAGAGCACCCCTCACCTGTTCTTGTGAGAGATGTGATCAACGTTCAGACTGGTTATCAAGGATCCGGCTGCTCAAAGCATATCTCAGCCCAAAAGCAAAATTGTAATAGGACATTGCAGATCATAAATTCTTAGATGAAGTGGGTGCTTCAGAGTTTTTTAGGCTTTTTTTCTTTTTCGGCACCTGGTGATCCTATCAGGAAGTCTGTAATTTTCAACTTCCTTTAACAGAACAAGCTGTCCAGCAAAAGTAGCAGATAGAGGGTTGAGACAAACCATCTAACACTGACAGTGAACTTTTATTCATTTATGTAAAACGTTTATCCCAAAGGAAAGTAGAAAAACTGTTGCTGCAACTGCTTAAAAAGTGATAGCTTTAATTTTAACCAACTCCATCTAAATCTGCTGGTACTTCTAATACTATCCTCTCCACAGGGTGACAATGCTGCTGTCCATGGGGTCGCTCTGTTGCTGCTCCATAGAGTGGAGACACTCTAAGTCTGAAAGTGTGTTACTGGCCAGATCACCGGGTGAAAATAAAGATTTTTAAATATGTTTTAAAGTGACACTGAATTCAGGAGTTTAACCTTAAAATGCATTCAAGTACCCTATTAGCAAAAATGTAACTTATTTGTGTATCACTCAGCTGTAGATCCTCAGTCATCACTGACACTGTCCTTCCTTCTGGAGGGTGGCTACTTTTGTTCCGCATGGTCCCTGTGTGTGTTGTAAAGTAGTCGCCTTTCAAGCTCGCTCCTGTGATGGACTACAATCTCAGTACAAATTAGTAAACTAAACATGAGATTGTAGTCCATCACATGAGTGAGCTTGGAGCAGTAAATACTTTACAACAAACACAGGGACTATGGGGAATTAAAAAAAACACCCTCCAGAAGGACAGTGTCAGCACCAATTCAGAGATGGTTTGAGGATCTACATCTGAGTGATACACAAATAAGATACAGTTTTGTTCATAGTTAGGGTCCTTGAATGCATTTTTAATAGTGTCAGTTTAAGTGACACTATTAAAGTTTAGTAGTCACTTTAACTCAAAGCACCAGTGCATATTGTACAATCCTATGTATTTTGGTGAATCAGTATCAAAATTAAAAATTTCACAATCATAATGTAAGAAAATTTGACTGAAACACATATTGTATCCATACAAATTGCAATTTCAATGTGTCAATGTCATATCTACTTGTTCTGTTATGATGACTGCATTGGATGAATTGACATAGAACACATGTGGAAACCTGGACTGAGGGAAATATGTAGGCTGCCATTCTGCAAATGCAATTTAGCAGGCCCTCATGCTTTTCTTACAGCTTCAATACGTTTTGAGTCAATGACTAGTAACAAGTGTGTCAAGAAGCAGTTTTTACTTCACTTGCATTTTCTTACAAAGTTAGTCTGCATGTATTTCTTGGTATAGGTTTCCATTAAGTAGCATTTCTGGGGTTGCAACCTTATTTTTGGTTAATTATTAAATCTGCTCAGCAGTTCCTGCTCTGTTCAGCTTTATTTAGATTTGGATAGAGTGGTGAAGGGTTAGAACCCTTGTCAGATTTTTATTTTTGTCTGTGATAATTTCAGGAAAAACTGCCCTCTTATTGTCCTGAGGACTACTGTCACTGGAACTAAAAATAATGGAAATGGCAATTCTCTTACTGGTAAAACCCCTTTATTGTGCACCTTGCTTTAAAAAGTTAGTTTTAAATTGATTGGAGCAGTTGTCATTTTTGTTTTCCTTGCCAGATTTGGTGCGAGAGTACACTGGAGGTCTTCATCTGCCATTGTGCTGTGCTGTGCTTGTGCTGTGTCCCTGTGCCTTTAAGTGGGAATGGGATACCTCCATGCATTCTTGCCTTTAATCTATTCACTGCTATATATGTTCCAAAATGGAAGCACACAAAGATTCAAGTTAGGGAATTAGGTTAAAGTATAGGTTAAACTTAGGGACCAAACCTCACAAAAGGGCCTTGATGAGGCAGTGTGGCTTTCAAGTACATTTGCAAATGTATGTCACTGAACCCCTGTTTTACATGCAAATTTATGAAACAATGTACGTTTGTTTTTGTTTTTTGTTTTTTTCTGGCTAGCTGGTAAATGTGTGTATTGTGTTTAAACTTGGAAGTTAATTTAAATAAATAGTTATTAAATATAAAATATCTGTCTCTGCTTTTCAGACCTCTCCACAGAAATACGTATGAAATAACTCTTTTTTTTAAATCTTATAAATCAACACTCCTGTGTTCCTATCTAGATAATTGTACTGTTGGGTCTCATTCATGATGAATAGATCTGCCACATGACATAGGTAAGTGCTCCAGCAGATAACAGCATATACAGGGATAGTGTAGGACATAGATCAATTGCAAAAGGTACTGTTTGTAATATATTTGCAAACAAATGGTCAGAATTTTCCAGCACAAGGGATAGACACAATAAGGACCTCAATGTAGAGTAAGACAGCATTATAAATGCCTAGCAGTAAAGAGGTAGCAGTAAGAGGAGAGGGAGTGACAGCCTTCTGTGTGCTGCACAGGACAGAAGATCAGTAAGCATATACGTTACAACATATTTTTGGACTGATGGCTTGTAGAGTGCTTACCCATGCTAGGTGTAGATAACAGCCGCATTTATCATACAAATAAATGGAGCTTGTCAAATGTTTGCTAAAGTGTGAAAATGTGGGATGATGAGCTGCATCTGCCTGACACGGCTCATTGCTCATCCGAACAAACTCTTACAGACCTATTCACAAAAGGGTGAAGGGTTTGGAGAAGGCAGGAGAAGTGAACAATCTAGGACAACATAACTGAACTGGAAAGTGAGCTAAATTGGAGAAGTTTTCCAGTTCAGCTATATTGGCCTAGTTTGTTCACTTCTCCTGCCTTCTCCAAACTCTTCACCCTTTTGTGAATGACCCTGTTAGTGGTACTTGTGGAATACCTTTGGAAACAGTCAACAGTTCACATTAGAATTCCACAGACATTAGGACACACCACATAGTAACATTACTTCATCTATAGTATGTTAACCAGAACTTAAACAGGAGCACTTGAATAAAATGGTTTAGGGAGGTATTTATATAGGGTCCAATAGCTGTGCAGGACACTTATTTTAGTAAATTTTTGTTCAGCAGTTATTCAACCTATTTATAAAAGACTGTTTTTTTCACTTGGATAATTTGTCAGTTCACAAATATCTCATGTTCAACAATTTATAGTTGTTTTGGTATATTTATGTGAATTTTATTCATAAAAAAATGCAATGAGTCCTATAAAAATCATATGATAATGTTATAGAGACCAACATATTTACTCCCCTTCTGACTATTTGTTCCTGTTTGGCAGCTGGGTTTACTATGTTTGTCCAAAAGCACATCACTTTCGTCCAAAATCCTTCATATTTAAACTTTTCCAGCTTGCTCGTTATATGTTTTACCTCTTCTCCAAAATGCACTAATTTATAAAATGTACCTATTTACCAAAATGCACTCACTCAAGACCTACCACCCAAACTCATATTTTGTCAAGACCATGCCCTTCAACAAATCCCAGCAGATTTGAAGTATGTTTTTTGTGGATTGTGTTAGGGTTGGAGGCCCCTCAATATTTACCAACAATGCAGGAAGACATAGATTTTTAGAAAACTAAAAATACCAACATTTTGAAAATTGCAGTCTTTGATTTTGGGAGGATTCCCTACCTATGCCATATAATGTCTTTGGTCAGTTAAAAGCAGTGGTCTCCAAAGTACAGCCTGCTGGCCGGATGCAGTGCTTTGCTAGCCTTTAACCAGCCTTTGGGGTACTTTTCCTCTCTCTGACAACAAGAACAGGATACATTTCCTCCCACTGCCCTCAATGATGAGGTACAATTCCTTCAACTGACACCATTGGTAGGGCACTATTCCTCCCACTGACATCAATGGTGGGGCACTAATCCTAATGCTGTCACCATTGACATGGCACTATTCCCCCCAATTACCTACTCTAAATCCTGGACAAGTTTGTAGCAATTTCAGGCCTTAAAACAAACCTCTCCAAATCCATGCTTATAAACGTCTCCCTGGTATTGAAAACCCTTCAGTCAATACAGCAAAACTTTAACTTTGTACAAAAAGTCTAGATTTGCATATCAATAGCCACACTACTAAAGCAGAACTAAAGTCAGCTGCTCTTTACTCTCTGGTGATGTGAAACTCATGGCAAAATTGTACAGAGCTGCACATGTGCATCTCAGTGTACATTTTGAAGAAACTTGCTATCCAGCTGGTAAGCCTCTTCTGTAACCAAAGCATACCTGCTACTTTTAAGACTATAGTCAGCTTAGGCTGCATGTATTATTGCCCAATCACACCACTGAGCTGTGGTAATGTACCCATTACCGCAACATGTGGCAAGGCATATTACATGTGTTGGTGCAATGAGGTGCCATTCAGAATGTACCTTGCTGAAGGATGTGTGTTGCAGCACAGTGCAATGCATGACAACGCACTAACATGTGGTCCACTTCCATAAATGGTACATGCACCATTTATGGTGCCTTTCTGGTGCATTAGGCAGTCCATTCAAATGAAGGGTCTGCTTTACTCATTGCACATTAATGTACAGCATAAAAAAGTAGACATGCAACCCCCGCACAAAATCATTTAGGGGTCTATTCACAAAGCTGCCGTAGGCAGCCGAGTGAACCACCTACCCAAAGTGAAGTGAGCTGAACACTGTTCGGCTATTCACTTCAGGCTTGTACGGCTGATTTCAGCCGTATATTGGCTGAAATCAGCCGTACATCCAATTTTTCTTTTTGGATCTAGTCAGATAGGGTTCTTTAATTATAAATTAACAATTATTTTGGGGGGTTTTATTGGTCATTTTACACTCTCCTACTGCTCTTATCAACTCTCTACTCCACAACATGAAGTCACGGGACCGTGCCTGTAATGCAAACAGCCAAA